GTAAACACAGGTAGATCTCCAGTCTACAGCGGACCCCAGCAAAAACACAAGACCCTACTTGAAAAAAAGCTAAAGCAAAAAAGGAATGGGGCACAGCTCAAGTGGCAAAGCATCTACCTAGAAAGCAGCACAGGGGCCTTAGTTCAAACCCCATCACTGCCCAAAGAAGAAAAAATTAGCCTTCACATACCTGCTTTTGAATTATGAGTCAATTTTAATCACTCAGAGAAAGCCAGCAGTCTTCTGCAGTAACATAGCAATAAACCCTGGAAGAAATAGTCTTCAGACTCCTGGCATGCAGACATGATAGGTGAGCATTCAAGAAAGAACAGAGACCCCCTCTGAGGCTCTACGTAAGACTGCAAAAGGGCTTAAAGCAAGGAGAACACTGGAAGAGCTTCCTGACCAGAAAGCCCACATCCACGTTGGGCCACATCCACTTCTGCCCATCTCACATGCTGCAGACCATCACAGTCACACCATTCTCATCAAACGCCCCATCCATTCACCACCCCGCATCTCCCCACCCCCAATTCCTCCTCAAAATATGTAGCCCGAATGCTCTTAAGCTACAGACCTAAATCTTTCTGGCAGCTAGGAAGGCTATCTGCAGCTTAGCTGTACCTGGTCTATGCCTAACTGTCCCCGTTCTCCACTAGAACTACGCTAGCCTTCTTTCATTCCTGAATATGCCTCTTGCCCTTGCCAGGGAATGCTGTCTTTGCTGCCATAGATAGTGTCCTCCCTTTCTTCATCTACTTCAAGTCAATTCTACTTTCAAATCTCACTTCAGGACTGGAGTAGAAGAGCAAGAGCTACCCTGGGGTGCAATCTCCAGCACCCAAAAACAAACAAACCAACAAAATCCCTGAAGGAAACCACCCACCACTTCCTGAGACAAACGACTCCCCGATCTTTTAAATGAAGCCCAGTATCTATATAGCACCATACAGCTTACAAATATACTTGGTTGCTTTTTGTTTGGGTGTCTTTAGTAATGTCTCCCCCTTGCCCTGACAATAACCTAAGTTCAAAGACTGCACAAACCAAGTTTACTTTCTCTCACAACTATATTCCCCAGTGCAGTGACTAGTAAAATTTGGACACTTAGTATTTGTTGAATGACTAAATGAATGGAGGCTTATAAAAATTAATATGCACCATTCAAGAGGAAAATCTACTACCACATTTTCAGTTACAATCCTGCAGCAATCCCTTGCTTTCACTGAATTGGAAATGTGTGAAAAGAACTCTTTAGGGATCAAGTTCTTTATCCTTTGACTTCAAGCGTAAAGATTAAATTCTTCATACATGACCCAATGAATTTATATCACAAAAATAATAGAGTATTCTAGACTTAAAATCTTTAAAAACCAGACTGAGCTGAAAAGAGACAAAAGATAAAAGATGGGTTTGTAAAGATAAAGACGTGGATTAAAAAAAAATTCAGACATGAAGAAACTCCTTGAAAGGAATAAATGGTGTATGGAGAAGAATATATTTTAGTTGTTAGAATAAAAAAGATACTAGCATGTGGAATTGTTGGTAAAAAAGATTGGTATCATGTCTTTACACATGAAAAGGATCCCTCAAAGGCAGATTAAAAAACTGCTGAATCAAAAGGAAATGAGGGGTAATAGATTAGATGCAGCCTATTAAGGATATATTCTAGTTTCTTATAAAAATAGCAGCAGCAAAGCCAGGAATATTCCATAGCATTCTCTTTTCATGTTTTAAAATTATGTACACTTACGGATTTTGAAGTTTAACTTTTTCCCATACTGTTTATACTTTAAAAAAAAATCTTAGTTTAACCCCTATGCCACAAAAAAGAAAACTTGTTCTTTAATAATACAATTAATAAATGGGCAAAAGAATTAAACATACAGTCCTTCGAAGAACAAAACAATAAATACATGAAGAAATACTGAACACCTTAGTCATAAAGGAAATGCAAATCAAAAGTACACTGAGGGGCTACGTGTGTTTCAAGCAGTAGAGTGCACGTCTCACAAACACAAAGCCCTTAGTTCAAACCCCAATACACCCCCCCCCAAAAAAAAAAGGGACTGGGGGCATGGCTCCAGTGATAGAGTGCTTGCCTAGGAAGCTCATGGCCCCGAGTTCAAACCCCAGAACCACCAAAAAAACAAAACCAGTATACTGAGGTCTCCATGGGGAAAGGGAGCTCTCATAATCTCAAAACCTACTGGTGGAGATGTAAACCAGCGCAACCATTATGGCAATCAGTATGGAGGGCCATCAAAAAGCTAGGAACAGGGCTGGCAGAGAGGCGCAAGTGGTAGAGCACCTGCCTAGCAAACGTGAAGTCCTGAGTTCAAACCCCAGTGCCACCAAAAAAAAAAAAAAAAAACGCTAAATAAAGAGCTATCTCAGGACCCTGCTGTACCGACTCTTGGGCACATCTGAATAAGTCTAACTCAACATACAAGAAGTATTGGGATGCCATGTTTATTGCAGCACTATTCACAATAGCCAAGCTGTGGAATCAGCTTAAGTACTCAATATCTGAGGAATGAATAAAGAAAATGTGGTATATACTCAACCATAAAGTACAAAATTATGTCATTTGCAGGACAATGGATAGAACTGGAGATCATCACAATCAGCGAAATAAGTCAGCCTCAAAAAGCCAAATCTGGTATATTTTTGCTCATATGCAGAATTTAGACTTAAAACAATAGTAACAATAATGAGACATAAGTGCAAAAGGGCGGCTGTCCACAAGGGCAATGGGGAGAAGGTATTATAGTGTGGAAAAGATCCAAGTACATTAGAAATATGCATGTGGTGTGAAGATGGCATAATGAAACCCATCAAATACTGTTTGAAGACGGAGAGGAGTTACAGGACTATACCAAATGGGGTGAACTTGTTCAAAGTACACTGTTCTCATCTCAATCATCACAATGAAGACCCCTTATACTATTAATATATGCTAATAAAAAATTCAAAACTATTAATGTTGTGTAAGATCCAGGTCATGAATTTAGGAGAGCTATTAACATTAAGGAACAATGTAAACCAAAAGTTACTCACATTTATTTTCAATAGATACTTGGTTTGATTTTCTCTTCAAGGAAAAAAATCTTGCCCAGAGCCATGCCGAGTACTTATTTTACGTAGAGATGAGTTCACCACATTCTGTGTATTCCACTAGGAGAAGATTCTCAGCAGCAGACTTATGGTATAATATCAAGGGCTGGGACTGCCATGCAGACATCCCAATGTGGCCTTTGCTTTTTATTTTCTTCACTCCTTTTCTTTCATTGCTTCATTCTAACATTTTCTGTAGACACGGACTAATAGTGCTAATAGCTTAATACTGCCTTTCGTGCCTGGAAGTGATGGACTTATTTTGCATAACTCTGTATGAATTGACAAACAAGTTTATACAATGATGTTTAGCCAAAGGAATGGCATTTGCAAGACAGCACTTTCCACCACATTTGAAATATTTGAGATAAAATGTTAGTTTTTTTAAGCACAACTTATAAAAATAGTTTTAACATTTTATAATGATTCACCACATGCAACCTTCACAAACACATTATTTTCATAGATCATCTAAGTTACATGTACCTATTCTGTCACCACTAAAACTAACCTAATCTTGTGCTTTCTTGTCACAAGTATAGTACAAAGAGTCATATAAATGTAGCTCTCAAGGGTCAAAATGAAGAAATTTTTATTTATAAATTAAACACCCTAACCATCACAAAGATTTAACTAAATTAACCATGAGAATAAGAGTACTAAATAGAAGCAACACAGCTCTCTATTAAACCCCAGAACAGTGCTTTACACTTAATAAATGTTTTTCTCATTGAATGAACTAACAAACGGCACAAATGTTTGTGATGGGAAGCTATCCCTATCCACTTATTCCCCAGTGTCCAACTGGAAAGAAGATGGGAAAACTGTCACTCTCTTAGATATGGGTGACCCACAAGCCTGCAAAAACCAACAGATTATACAAACATAATGAATGGATCCTGCTACATACTTCTTCAAAGTTTTCCTATATTTATAAACGCTTATGCTCTTAGTTGGAGCATAGGAGTAATCCAGAGTAAAATAAAAACTAAGTAAGAATTAGACAGTCCTCTGCTTAAATAACTCTTAACACTGGCTGTATAAGGAAGGAAAACACAAGAACAGGCATATAGCAGCAATCAAATACATGTTGAGAGAACATAATCCAACATGGAACACCTCCCCAGATGTTACAGACAAGGTCAGAAAAAACAAAACTCCCTCTGAGAATGAAAGCCAATCAAACAGTATACACTAAGATGAAAGACTTAAATAAGACTTTAAAGTGTGATAGAATTAACATGTCTGGTACAATGGAAGTAGAAAAACATTACTAAAATACAAGTATTACATGTAACTGTTACAACACTGAATTAGTGTTGATTCAATCAATGGTGATTTTTTTAAGGATTTAAAAAAGAGTTTGTCCAAGGCATTAAAAATGGCCAACATAGCTATTTGGGAGGATGAGATCTGGAGGATCATAAATCAAAGCCAGGCTGGTCAAGTAGTTTGTGAGACTCCATCTCCAAAATAACCACAGCAAATGGACTGGAGATTTCACTCAAGCAGCAGAGTACCTGCTTTACAAGTGCGAAGTCCTCAGTTCAAACCCCAACCCCATCGAAAAGCAAAAACAAGAAAAAAAAAAAAAAAAAAGCCAATGTAATAGACACTGGAGAGATGTTCTTTCCTGTGGAACCGACACACACTATCAAGCTTTCTTGTAATCTGAGTAAAATGTCTCAGAACTACTCCCAATTCCTTTGATCTTACATTCACCAACTTTTTAGCTTCTAGCTTAGAAAGGTGCTGGAGAGAGACGAGCGCTGTCTTCACTACAGAAGTTAATATGGACGTAAAAATGAAAGGCAGGAATGTGAAACAGGTCCTGTCAGGGGTGAGTAGTCATGGGAGGGGGACAGGGTGAATGGCAGCGGGGAAAGGGGGTGCATGTGATTGATGTACTTGATAGACTTACATGAAAACTGAACAATGAAACCTGTTGAGATTGGTTTAAGTTGGGGAGGGGAGGATGAGGAGGAGTGATGGTAGAGGTGAAGCTAACCAAGGTATACTATATACATGGAAATGTCACAATGAAACCCCCAATACAACTAATATATGCTAATAAAAATGTTACATCAAAAATTATAGGGAATTCCAAAAAGCTTTTGTTCATGAGTTATACTTACTAATATGTACTAGCTGGCACTTGAGATGTATCTCAGTGGTAGAACACTTGCCTAGCATGTGCAAGGTTCTGGGTTCAAACCCCAAAACAAGAAAAAAAATTACTATATTGGAAATTAAAGCCACATCATCTTAATGTGTATTTATTTAAACAAAATAACCAAATTACACATCAGCATAAATTATATTTTCCAAAAAAAGAGTGAAAAGAGGTAAGTCAATTTTCATTTTTATAAGACAAGTTGTCTGAATTGTCATGTCTACTGCTACAATCAATACACTGTATTGCCCTCTTTTGGTCAAAGTACAAGAAGAAAATCTGGCTTCATAGAAATACACAGGTGGACAGAACCGGAAGCAACACGCAGACCTCTTCCCTTTTGCAACCATCGCCGGAGCGGCAGCAGCCAAAATGAAGTTCAATCCCTTTGTGACTTCTGACCGAAGCAAGAACCATAAAAGGCATTTCAATGCACCATCCCACATTCACAGGAAGATTATGTCTTCCCCTCTTTCCAAAGAGCTAAGACAGAAGTACAATGTTCGATCTATTCCCACCCGAAAGGATGATGAAGTTCAGGTTGTGCGAGGGCACTATAAAGGTCAGCAGATTGGCAAAGTTGTCCAGGTTTACCGGAAGAAATACATCATCTACATTGAGCGGGTACAGCGGGAAAAGGCTAATGGCACAACAGTACATGTGGGCATTCACCCCAGCAAGGTGGTTATCACCAGGCTAAAACTGGACAAAGACCGAAAAAAGATCCTGGAACAGAAAGCCAAATCTCACCAAGTTGGAAAAGAAAAGGGCAAATATAAGGAAGAAACAATTGAGAAGATGCAAGAATAAAGTAGTCTTATATACAACTTACATTGAAAACTGCCTAAGTTGAAAAAAAAAAAAGAAATACACAGGTGGAGAAGTGAGGAGTATTTTAACAACCTTTACCATGAAGTGTGAACATTCTTCCCTAATTCTATACCAAAACGTGAGAAACGGCCATTTCTAAAAGACTGGTTGAAATGTGGAATCCAAAAACCCTATCCCTGACCTTCCCATATTCTGGTCCACTAAAGCCCAGCAGTCCACTTTGCACTTTGACAGGATGTTTTACCCAGGCTTAATTTTTAGTATCACGAATTAGTCATCTGGAAAGTGCTAGCTCACTGTGTCCTACAGATCTTCCAGAGGTTGACATTTTACTATCTAAAAATCACTTTTATTGATACTATCAATGATCTCAGCAGAAAAATAAACTGTTTTTGTTTTTTGTTTTGGTTTTTTTTTTTTTTTTTTTTTTTTGGTGGGGGGACGTGTTTGGTTTGGGTTTTGTTTCTTTGATTACTCGCTTACTTTTGGCAGTGCTAGGGCTTGAAGCCAGGACTCTGTTCATGACAGGAAAGTGCTCTATCACTGAACTACACTCCCAAACCCAGAAAAGGTCTTTTAAGTAATGAACTGTCAGCACACAGTGGCAAATACAAGTTCCCCAAGACTCATTTTTTGCATGAAATCACAAATTTTATCTCAAGTAACAAATACTGTCACCGTTTTCCTTGACAAGCTCACTTTGTTCATTGAGGAGAACATGGTTGGTAAACTTGTTAAGTCTGAATACTTGTAGCTCACCAGTCACCCTCTGAAGGAGAAATGGATGGTCTGTCCCATCACTCGTGGGACTGTACAAATGCTTTTCCTAAGACCACTAGATGTGGCAGAACTGCTTTACTTACCATTTTCCCTCACAGAATATTAAAAAGGGATGCATTAAAGAGTCAAGATTTTATAAAATTAAGAATTTTTAGACCATCACAAACACTGTTAAGTAAAACTGAAGGTCTTGTCTTCTGAAAAACACAACTCCCCTGTAGTTTGGCGGCACTACATTGGTTACTTTAAGATATTAAGTCACCCACATTGCTTTTGTACCAGCAGTACAAGAGCCAACACAGAGTGGAAAAAGACAATATCACAGAAATGGTTTTGACGTTCTGGGATTCCCTAAAAAGGATGTAAGAGACCCAGATCCCAGCACCAACCCACAATGACTGCAGACCACACTTTTGAAAATTGCTGGCCTAAGGTTCATCAAGGAACATCAAAGACTAAAAGAAAAACACAGTCCCCAATGTATAGCCATGCTGGAGTCAGATGGCTCCAATGTTGCAGGCTGCTGTTAGCGGCAGAGATGGGGCTCTGCACCTGGAAAGACAACAGACTTCAAAATATCTAATGAGCCTTAATGAGTCAGCTACGTCTCCCTGCAACTTACATGACTTCTTGTGCAATGATGTACGTATCTGCTACCTCGAAATATGTAACCTGGCTGGGCTTTTGTTTTGTTTTGTTTTGTTTTTCTCTTTCACTCTAAACTATGTCCAATAATTAAAACCTTCTCCCATATCATATAGTCCCTAGGTTTAGAACCACCTCAGCTCCCCTCTCTCTAATTGACTCCAGTTTTGTTTTGTTTTGTTTTTTTCTTCAGTTTTTAAGCTTTCTACAAATGAGCATATTGTAGCTATCTCTGATAAGGCAGAGAGCAGTGAAACTGTTCATTACCCTGATCTTGCCATGTGCTTATATAAGTCAACCTAGACATCACTTTAACTCTTTTAGTAGCATATCAAATCCCAGGCTCCTTTTCACTCACAGAACTATGAAGTCCTGTTTCCCTCCAATATCTGCTGATTGATCTTTAAAAAAAAAAAAAATCAATTCAGGGTGTCTTGTTTATTCCCACTAACTTTTACCCAATTAATTACATATTCGAACTAAAAATAATTTTTCAGAAACCTGGTTCTATCACAGATACTGGCTGTCCCTGTCAGGTTTTTTTGTCAATCACCTTTATGATAATTTATAAATACGACTTCTTTCTCAGTACTCAACACTTTTGTTGTTGCTTATAAGTCAGTAAGTATTTAGTTAGAGAAGGCCTACTATTGTGGCCTTCCTTTCTGGTCCAAACAAATCAATCCAAACCCACAAGGACACAAGTCCCCTAACACACACACTGTACTTCACGGAAGGCAGAAGTCAGGTCTTTATAGTAGTGCTTGCCTCTAGTCAGTGACTACAGAAAAAGACCCCAGGTCTTTTCTGAAATCAGAATCGTGTTTCCAGCTGTAAAAACTTCAGTCAGATGGCAATATTAACCTGTGACTTCCCTCCACCCACCCGCACTGAGGAAGGCCGTGATGGCAACCTGCTATTGCCATTATTCCTGGAAACCCAAGCTGTCACTGCCTTAGAGATCCTTGTGGCTACATATTCATCCCAAACTACTCAGTATCTCTGAAAGGACAGTCTTTCCCAGGCTTCATTCTTTAGAAAGGACAAGCCTCTTGTTTTCCATAAATGGTCAACAAAAAATGAAAGTGTATTTCATAGAACACAGGCCTTTTTCTAATCCCCAAAACCTTACCTGGAATGCTAAAATTATCTACCTCCAGGCAACACAGTACACTGGAAAACTCAGGAGTTAAAAAGCCTGGAATCCCATCTTCATCACCTTAAAACCAGTGACTTAAACCTTAACTTTGCATCTGTGTGGCCTTGAGTCTGCCAATTTGCTGGAGCATCAGCAGACTGAGAAAACTGCGTATATCACAGCATCACTGTAAATGAGGTAAAGAATTGAGGTCCCGTGTATGAAAGTGCCTCAATAAGCTGCTGGCGCAAGGTGAATTCCTCAATATGCATCAGTTTCCATCTTTCTTGCCCAAGTGTCTTGCAAAGAGTAACCATTCCCACATTCTAGCATTATACTCCCTTCTGACTCATAAGGAAAAAAACAAACCTTAATTCTCAGTTCCCACAGCAGACAGAAGCTGTCACTCACAGTCAAAGAACTAGCCACTTTTACAGGAGACAGTATAGACTATGCAATAGTATCAGAAAATACACCTTGCTTATCTTTGGGTATATATAGGTGCAGGACACACTGAAAGTACTCAAAATTAAAGCTTGCTAAATTTGGTGATTCTATATTCTCAATCTAAATTATACATACATACACACACACATATTTTTTTAACTATGGGAAAAAGAAGTAGATTTGAGAGTTAAAGGAATGTAACTATCTGCAAGCATTGTAAAAGACTCCAACCACAGGCCGGGTGTAGTGGCTCGTGTCTATAATCCCAGCTACTTGGGCAATAGTTACAAGAATCTCAACAACATAAAAACAGCACCAGTAAAATATGAAAAAAAAAAAAACCCTACAACACACAACAAATAGCACCAGTAAGATGCTGGTCACATCTCATTCCTTTCAGTCTGTACAATCCAACTGACTTACTCTGTGGCTTTAATCACTCCAAATTGCTGCCCTTAATTAAACAGTAGCAATTTAAAAGGTATCACCTCAGTTGTTGTGTCTTGGCCTCACTACCTTAGTAATAGACCCACCCCCCTCAAGTCTGGCACAGTTTCAAACAAACATCTTTATTACTATTGTTGGCTATCTGTTCAGTGGAAACCAAGAAAGAGAAGACCCAAGTCAAGAAGGTAAGGCTTCAGAGAAGGCAAACAGGAAAACCTTTTCTAGAAAAACAAAATAAAAACAATAAACAATTAGATGTTTCCAAAGTCAAGCCTAAAAGAAAAAGAACATGCCTTTAAAAAAAAAGACTGGGGTGTGACTCATGTGGAAGAGCACTTAACTTACAAGTGCAAGACCCTGAATTCAAACTCCAGTAGCAAAGAAAAAAAAACGGGGAAAACCACTGGGCCTAAGGAGAAAGATGCTATTTGCCAGTAAGTAAGTCGGAGCATACCATGTCATGGTGAAACACGGTATTAGGTTAGATGACCTCTCTTGATCAACCAACAAAATTTATAAAACTGCAAGATTTCAGATAGTGTCAACTACCAAAGGCAAAGCTAACGAAATATCTACTTGCCTGCCTATTCCTCACACTCCGATACTCTCTGTTGGAAATGTGGGCCCCAAAAGTGACCACGTGGAGAGGAGTGATCTGGCCAAGAGATTCTTTATTGCCCAGTGGGAGAGGGAGAGAGCAGAGAGAGCCAAAAAAAGAGAAGCAGGAAGGGCAAGGGCTTAAATACCCCTCAATGGGACTCGGCATGATCTGATTGGTTAGGATCTTATGGTTCATGCTGATTGGAGGTTGGGGCAGAAGGAGGATTCAAGCTAGACTTGAGGCAGGACCGTGACCCTGGGAAACAGAAGCTTAAGGGTGCAGTAAGAACTGAAACCTATCGGCGCCATTATTGCCAACACTCTCAAATTCCCAACTTTATATCAATGAAGCCAGAGCCTGGGTCTCCCTTCTATTACCATAAATCACCGTACTCAACCTAGAACAATTTTGATGTTCAATGGCAATCTGGCAGTGTCTAGAGACAGTGTGCTTCAGCAAGACGGATGAGGGGTGGTCTACTACTGCATGCAGTGGCAGAGGCTAAGGGTGCCACTAAGCATCCTACATCGCACAGAACAGCTCCACAAAGAACAATCTGGCTCGAATGTCAATAGGGCCGAGATTAACAAACCCTGACACATATTAGGTGTCCATGCTCCCATATAAAGCAAGTCCCTTCCCCTACCTTACGCAGGGACTCTCACTCCCTCAGCTGCTGAAGGACACAGATCCAGCAATTCTCACTTCTCATTGTGACATCAATACATATGAAAAAGGTATAGCCTTAAATGGGTTTGGCAGAAAGTTTTAGAGCATATATTTTGAGATATCTGAAGTGCTAATCAAATCCAAAGGGCTCATCAGAGGCTGGAGCAGTTCTTCCTTAGAGCGAGCATATATTGTTTACATGTGTAAGAAATCTCTAAAGAACCTGAAAATAAGTTCTTTCTTAAATAGCAAGCATTTCTCTTGAAATCTTATCTGC